TCCAGGAATAAGTCCAACCAAAACTGGCAATCCTAATTGCCAGTGGACAGCAAAGTTAAAAGGCCCTAGGTGAAGATGGGAAAGACGTTAAAAATGTTTTGAATAATTAGAATTAAGAGGAAGATGATATCATGTAAAAAGAAAGTGATACCTCTTGTTTTTCCTGCTCTTATTGTTTATAATAGAGCATAGATACCCCAGCTGAGATCAGGGCCCCATTGTGCTGAACATTGTACAAACACCTGGAAAGAAGCAGTCCTTGCCCCAAATAGCTCACTATCTAAACAGACAACAAAATGAGTGGGAGAAATGTAGTGCCACCTCCATTTTGCAAATGAGGAACTGAGACAGAGAGCCCAAGTAACCCGCTTGAGGTCACACAGGCCATCTGTGGCAGAGATGGAAAGCAAAGCCAGGTCTCCCAAGACCCGGTCGAGCGCCCTAACCACAAAGCCATTTTTCATCTCCTTCGCAGGAGCCAGTGAAAAGGTCAACAAGCTTTGGAAAAGTACGTCTGTCACAGTAACTAAGCTGAAGATGCACATATTTGTAATAAAGCCAGTTAAACCTGCTGGTGCAAAATAAAGCCCAAGTATTCACAGCCTCATGTTCTCTGACCAATACTAAGGTTTTTCCTAGGAAAGAGCCTAATAATGCTCCCTCTCCTGCACTGCCAGAATTGAGGTAGGGTGGGATGACGGCTTTAATTTACTCCAGTCCTACACAACCGGTTTCATCCTTGACTCTGAATTCCATCTGAGAAGTGTTGTGACAGAGAAGTAGGGGACTTAATGGGTTGGTAACGACACACAGCCTTTCATGTCTAAGTTAAAGTCATAGGAACAAAGCAAGCCCAGATCAGCAGTGGCTGAAAAGCATGACCATCTGAGTGCTGACCATAGCCTATGTTAACGTGGTCTCAGGGCAGCTCCAAACAGACAGGTGTCCACATCAGATTTGCGCTCACTGGGTGGCCAACTCAGAGAGGCCAAGGACTGGAGATGGAATCTAACTCCTAGAGAATGCACTTTTGCGACAGCCGAGAGGCACAATTGTGGGGCAGCTGGAGAAGCTTGCTTGCCGCAGTACCCGTTCCACTGGCCTGCCTACAATGCTGTCAGGCTGGCACTTTTCACCAGCAGGGAATTCACTTTAAATAAAAAGGAATTAACAGGCTCCTTTCTTGAGCTACCATGCCCCAGCGGGGGTGTGCTCTGGCATAATCCCAACACCGGTATACAGCAACAGCCCCTTTCTACACCATGTCCAGCCCTTCTCTTTTATCCAGAAAGGCAGACGAGCAGCTGCCCAACGTGGATGCCAGTCATTCATTTGCTGGCAGGCAACTTTAGCTCAAAAAGGCTGGGGGGCTGCTACTAAAAGTTATTGTTTGAGACCCATTGTGACAGTCTCAAGACTTGTCGTAAACTGCTTTGAACATGATTTTAACCTCATCCCTAAACTTCCCTAGACACCCTGTTCATGCATTCACTCTTTGGGAAGAGCGGAGAAACTGATCCGAATGGCTGATGAGGACTGACACTTCAGGTGTGTATTT